TGTGGCTGCTCCTGAAAAGTGTCTATTTAGGTTCTTTGCCCATTTATTGATTGGATTGTTTATCTTCCTTTTGTTAAGTTGTGTTAGTTCCCCGTAAATGTTGGAGATTAAACCCTTATCTGAGATAACATTGGCAAATATGTTCTCCTATGCAGTGGGCTTTCTTGTTGTTTTGTTGATGGTTTCTTTTACTGTGCAGAAGCTTTTTGTTTTGATGAAGTCCCATTTGTTTATTTTCTCCTTTTTCTTTATTGCCCAAGGGCAGTGATGGCGAACCTTTTGAGCTTGGTGTGTCAGCATTTTGAAAAACCCTAACTTAACTCTGGTGCTGTGTCACATATAGAAATTTTTTAATATTTGCAGCCATAGTAAAACAAAGATTTATATTTTTGATATTTATTTTGTATGTTTACATGCCATTTAACAAAGAAAAATCAACCAAAAAAATGAGTTCGCATGTCACCTCTGACACGTGTGTCATAGGTTCGCCATCACTGCCCTAGGAGCTGTATCGGTAAATATATTGCTATGACATATGTCTGCTATTTTGCTGTGGCTATTTGGGGTCTTTTTTTATTCCAGATGAAATAAAAGCTCTTTTTTTGGAGAGCTTGTTCTAGGTTCTTCTTTTTTTGTAAATCCTCACCCGAGGATATTTTTCCATTGATTTTTAGAGAGAGTGGAAGAGAGAGGGAAAGACAGAGAGAAATATTGATGTGAGAGATACACATCAATTGGTTGCCTCCTGCTCGAGCCCCAACCAGGACCTGGGCTGGAGAGGAGCCTACAACCAAGGTATGTGCCCTTGACTGGAATTGAACCCGCAGGCTGATGCTCTATCCACGGAGCCCAACTGGTTAGGGCCCTTTTCTCCTTAAAGCAATTCCTTTAACACTTCTTGAATTGCTGGTTTGATGGTAATGTGATTCTTTAACTTTTTTTCTTCCGGAAAGCTTTTTATTTTACCTTCAATTTTAAATGAAAGCCTCGCTGGATACAGTAGTCTTGGATTTAGGCCCTTACTTTTCATTACTTTGAGTACTTTATACCACTTCCTTCTGGTCTGAAGTGTTTCTGTTGAGAAGTCAGCTGACATTCTAATGGGAACTCCTTTGTAGGTAATTTTCTGTCTCTCGCTGCCTTTAAGATTCTTTCTTTGTCTTTAACATTTGCCATTTTAATTATGATGTGTCTAGGCTTAGAGTGGTCAAGATTGAACTAGGTTGGCTAACTACTTTATTGGATTTGGAGAGAGTAAGAGCATTAACATTTCCACTGGAGATGCTTATTACAGTATACGCTCTTTTTTTAAAAATTGATTATAGAGAGGAAGAGAGAGAGAGAGAGAGAGAGAGAGAGAGAGAGAGAGAGAGAGAAACATCAATATGAGAGAGAAACATTGTTTGGTTGCTTCCTGTATGTGCTCTGACTGGGGATAGAACCCGCAACCAAGGTATGTGCCCTGACTGGGAATCAAACCCTCGATGCTTTGGTGTATGGGATGGTGCTCCAACCAACTGAGCCACACTAGTCAGGGCACAGTATACTCTTTGTGTAGCCAATTTGTGTCTTCTTTGTCTGCTTTACAAAATTTCAAGGGAAAGTGGGTGGAGATGATGTTGACATTGATTTTGTCGATTATAAATTTGTAACTTTTATTTTTTTGTAAACAAAGTACAAATAAACTGTGTACTGTGTAATGTCCTTTTTGATATTTCTCTGAGCTCCTCAGCTTTTTGTCAGGTATGAAGCTTCTACAGAGTTCTGTGCAGTATGTTGAAATAGCGTTTTAAAAAATTTTACTTGTTTCCTTTGGATAAATACCCAGAAGTGGAATTCTGGGTCATATGGTATATCTATTTTTATTTTTTTTGAGAATACCCATACTGTTTCCACAGGGGCTGAACCAGTTGTTTTTTTTTCTACCAGCAGTGCACAAGGGGTCCCTTTTCTTGCATCCTCAACAACAAATGTTATTTGTTGACTTTTTAAAAATAGCCATTCTGACTCTGTGAGGTGGTATCCCATTGTGGTTTTGATTTACATTTCCTTGTTGATTAGTGATGTTGAACATCTTTTCATATGTCTGTTAGCCAACTGTATGTCTTTTTTGGAGAAATTTTTCCCTGTGTTTATTGCAGCATTATATATACAATAGCCAAGATTTGGAAGCAACATAGGTGTCCACATATAGATGAATGGATAAAGACTTATATATCTCACACAATAGAATATGTGTGGGAGCAATAAAAAGGAATGAATCCTTGCCTTTTGTGACATTACACTAAGTGAAATAAGTCAGGCAGAGAAAGACAAATGTCATATGGTTTCACTTACATGTGAATCTTAAACAAACAAACAAATAAAACAAAATGAAAATAGATTCCTAGAAACATAGACCAAGGGGTTAGTTATCAGATGAGATGGGGGAATGGCTGAAAAGGGGAAGGGGAATATAGACAATTATATTGTGACTAGGGGCCCAGTGCACGAAATTCGTGCACTGGGTGGGTGGGTCGGGGGGAGGGGGAAGTGTCCCTCAGCCCAGCCTGCCCCCTCTCACATACTGGGAGCCCTCGGGTGTTGACCCCCATCATCCCCTGCCCAGGCCTGAATCCTGGGCCAGAAGCCGGAAGCTGTCACCGTGTAAAGTTATCTACACTAATAAACGAGAAACATGGTAATTGGTGTACGACCGCTACAGTTTTCATTGGCTAATCAGGGTGATATGCAAATTAACGGCCAACTAAGATGGCGGTTAATTCGTCGGATCGGCCCCTTGCCCAGGCCTGAGGCCTCTAGCCGAGGCATTAGGCCTGGGCAGCGGAGACCACCAGCTCCCCGCGATCTCCTGCTTTGCCCCTGCCCAGGCCTAACGCCTCTGGCAGAGACCTTAGGCCTGGGCAGGGGACCTCCAGCTCCCTGCAGTTGCAGGCTCCACCCCTGCCCAGGCCTAACGCCTCTGGCCAAGGCATTAGGCCTGGGCAGGGAACTCCCAGCTCCCTGCGATCTCCCGCTCTGCCCCTGCCCAGGCCTAACGCCTCTGGCTGAGGCTTCCGGCCCGGGCAGCGGGGACCCGCAGAGGCAGCGGTGCCGCGATCACGGAGGCTCCGCTTTAGGCCCAGGCATCGGACCCCTAGCTCCCGGGACTGCAGCTTCGACCGTGCCCAGCTCCCATTGCTGGCTCCACCCCTACTTCCTGCTATCACTGGCCAGGGCGGCAAAGGCGCCCGATTCTCCGATCATGGCTGGGGGGTAGGGCACCCCCCCCCTCCCGGCTCTTAGCCCCCCCCGGGTTTCCGATCACTGTCAGTGGAAGGGGGCTTCTTCCTGCTTTCCCTTTCGCCTCCCTGCATTGTGCCTACATATGCAAATTAACCGCCATCTTAGTTGGCCGTTAATTTGCATATCACCCTGATTAGCCAATGAAAACTGTAGCAGTCGTACGCCAATTACCATGTTTCTCGTTTATTAGTGTAGATAACTTTACACGGTGACAGACTTATACTAGAATTAGTGAGGTGATTTCATGGTAGGGTATAAAGATGTGGAATCACTATATTGAACACCTGAAATGAATATAACCAATAAAAGATTGTATACTAACTATACTTTAAGTAAAAAATAAATTAAAAGGAAAGGTTTACTTGTATATGTTGTCAGCACCATTGCCCAGTGTCCCTTATTTAGCCTCCTTTGTTGCTGGGAACAATGGGAAATGTGGTGGTAGGAAATTATACTTAGTGATCTTGGGCAAGTCACTTTGTTTGGGCTTTGATTTCCTCAGCTTTAAAATTTGGAGTTTGGATTATTTAATTTTTAAAAAATTCTCATCTGAGGGTATGTTTATTGATTTTTAGAGAGAGTGGTGATGGGGGAGAGAGACATTGATGTGAAAGGAAAACGTTGATCTGTTGCCTCTCATATACACCTGGACCAGGAATCGAACCCACAGCCTAGGTAATGTGCCTGCAATCTTTTTTTTGTATGGGATTTGAAACCACAACCCCTTTTAGTGTACAGGACAATACTCCAACCAACTGAGCCACCTGACCAGGTCTAGATTATTTAATTTAAAAAAGTATATATTTTATTAATTTTTAGAGAGGAAGGGAGAGGGAGAGAGAAAGGGCATTGATGTGAGAGTAGAACATAAATTGGCTGCCTCCTGCATGTCCTCTACTGGGGATCGTGCCTGAGACTCAGGCATATTTCCTGACCAGGAATGGAACCAGCAACCTTTTTGGTTCACAGGATGACTCCCAACTAACTGAGCGATACTGGCCAGGGCAGATTATTTAATTTTTTAAAAGTATATGAAATATTGGCAGATACAGGAAGAATTCAGAAGATAAATTAATAG